AATAATAATAATAATAATAATAATAATAATAATAATAATAATAATTTTATTATATGTTATTATCATAAAAAATATTTTTTCACTAGTAATATAATAAAGAAGATACATTTTCTATAACTTCTTTGTATTTTTTTTGAATTAGACTATTTATCCTATTCATAAATAATTTCATCATTTATAAAAATACAGCACAATCTCTATTTAAAAGTTATACTATAATCTTAACCTATGCAAATGTTGTATAATTAAAAAAGGTGAATACTATTGTCTCACACTATTGAATATTTTATTTCTCTACATAATTTTTTGTTATCATTTCTAAGACATAATTCTTTCAAACCCTTCTTACAAGATTATTGTGGTGTTAGTATATATTTAATGAGTGAATTATTATTTAAATATTTAAATTATTTTTACTGATATTGAAAGAATATATCTATTAATAAATATAATGAATTTAGGTGATAATAAAAAAATATTTATATGGAAATAATTCACATACATGAAGTTAAATAAAATAAATTTAAGAAAAAAGTTGTTATACTTTAAATACTCTTACTTAAAAGTTTCCTAACTTAAAGTTTTCATACTCGATTACAAAATTATCTATTTTATTAAAGGTTTTTTAAAATTAAAAGAACAAAACTGCGTCATTTTATTCTAGTAAAATGCAAACACACACTGACAACAATAATAATGTGATAAAATAAAATTGTTTCCTCTGTGGTTCAGCTCCAATTATATTCAGCAAAATTCATTCCAAAATGAATAGGAAATGACCCAAATATGTTGGTTGAGAGAAAGTTGGACTCTTTAATATGTTTTGATAACAAATTACACTGCTTCTGTAAAAACAAAAAACAAAAAAAAAAACAAAAACAAAAACAAAAATTGAACATCAGTGTGAATTAGTACTAGGAAAACATAAAGTCGAAACAAATAAATAATCCACTAAAATCAACTTGTTTATATGTTAAAACTAATTTTTACACAGATTAAATTGTAAATTTTATTTCATGTTAACTTTTCCGAAATTTAATTTTTAATTTATATAAAAATTAATTTTAACTTTAGAAAAAACTTATTTTATTTTATTTTTCTATTTCTCTGAAACATTTTTATGAAAAAGTTTGCCAAAAACACTCTAAATATAATACAAAATTTTAAAAAGGCTACCAGTGACAAATAAATAAATAACGAACGCTCTAATACAGTATAAATAGACACTGACTATGAAAACATTACAAATAAAAATAAGATATAATCCAAATTTGAGACAAACTAAATAAGGAAATAAGTGGATGAAGAGATATTCCTCAAAATTTTAAAGTGATGGAAATTCTAAACCATTTAGTGATGTTGAAGTGCCACCATAACATAAGGCTTAATAAAAGAAGAAAAAAACCTGTAAATAGTAATTCGTTAAACTTGTGGTTGGATAAACAATTTCACAGATTTAAAATATTAAAATTTATTGAACTTGATTTGATTTAATATTTAATATTTTTATTTTTTTAATCTTTTATTTTGATAAGACAATTCAAGTTTACTGAATTTTATTTTTTTATTTAGATAAAATATTTTAATTATTATTAAATTAAAAATATTTAAATATCAAACCATTGTTAATAATTTAAAAATTATTTTTAATATTGTTTATGTTTTTAGTCAATATTGGTTTATATTATTTTTCGATCAAAATTTATTAATATTTTTTTAATTGATATTCACAAAGTTTTTCCTTTATGTTAACCACAATTATTTATAAGTTTATACGGATCTAGATTTATTTTACAAGTTGATGTTGTAGTTTATTTTGCCAATTTTTGAATCAATGTCGATTGAAGAATTTCTTGATCAACATTACCAAGAAAACAAACTTAGTTAATCTTGTCTGAAAGTTTTCATAGTTAACAATTGAAAAAAATCATCCTAATAATTTAATCTTTCAATTAATATTTAGCAGAAGAGTTAAACTCAATTTCTTTTACCATCTCTTCCAAACTAACCTTATATCTCTAAATTATTAATGAAAAATTAAACCTATAATCTCTCTCATCCTTCTATCCAACTATGTCTCTTGACCGTACACAAATTAAGCTAATACATAGCTTTATCTAGCAGGTCTCACCATATGCAAGCAATAATGCATAATTTAAAAAGATGGCACATGTCAAAGGCTTTTTTTTTTTGTTTCATGTCAACTCTGATCTTTTGCTAAATTACATTTTTTTGGAACAAGTTAAGAAAGTTATACGATGGGCCGGAAACACAAAATAAAGAAGATCAAGTGGTCAATAGATTTTATAGGATATAGATATAATAGTATAGTATTAGTTATAATATTTGTCTTATTTACGGCTTTAGTGGTAGCTTTTAGGGTATTTTNTTTATGTTAACCACAATTATTTATAAGTTTATACGGATCTAGATTTATTTTACAAGTTGATGTTGTAGTTTATTTTGCCAATTTTTGAATCAATGTCGATTGAAGAATTTCTTGATCAACATTACCAAGAAAACAAACTTAGTTAATCTTGTCTGAAAGTTTTCATAGTTAACAATTGAAAAAAATCATCCTAATAATTTAATCTTTCAATTAATATTTAGCAGAAGAGTTAAACTCAATTTCTTTTACCATCTCTTCCAAACTAACCTTATATCTCTAAATTATTAATGAAAAATTAAACCTATAATCTCTCTCATCCTTCTATCCAACTATGTCTCTTGACCGTACACAAATTAAGCTAATACATAGCTTTATCTAGCAGGTCTCACCATATGCAAGCAATAATGCATAATTTAAAAAGATGGCACATGTCAAAGGCTTTTTTTTTTTTGTTTCATGTCAACTCTGATCTTTTGCTAAATTACATTTTTTTGGAACAAGTTAAGAAAGTTATACGATGGGCCGGAAACACAAAATAAAGAAGATCAAGTGGTCAATAGATTTTATAGGATATAGATATAATAGTATAGTATTAGTTATAATATTTGTCTTATTTACGGCTTTAGTGGTAGCTTTTAGGGTATTTTCCAGTAGATATAGCTTCCTACTAAAGTTGTACTGACACTAGGCAATTTACTACTAGTTTTTGTGTGTTTCTTGGGTGAAGCTCTACTGTTTCAAGATCATCGATAGACACCGAGTGTAAAGCATTTGCTTGTTGGTAGTGAAGTTGTGTGGCTCCAACGTCTCTCACTTGAGTTTCCATTTCATCTATCATTATTTAATATTACAACCAATCAATTATTCATTTGATTTCAAACACATCCACACTGGCATTCACTTCGTAAGAGAATTAGTCCAATTAGTTCATGTCAAATCTGCCCATCAGAATTTTGATTTGTTATCTAAGTCAGTCATTAACTGCTGCTCATTTTCAGACCTTACTTTTCAAACCATCCTTTGTCTTTACTTTCGACCTTGAGGGGTATTACAACTAATACTACTAACAATTAGTTAGTAAGTTACCCAGCCATGTGCTAGTTAAACATTGAAATTAGTTTAAGTTTAAGATACTAAACTTTTTACTGGATATATTCGCCTCTTTAGTAAAAACAATTAGATGACTGAAATATTAATTCCCTTTTTCTCAGAACAATGTTTTCAAAGTTCAATTATCCATAAGATAAAATAATTTGTAAAAAAGTGGCGTAAAAGTTATTTCAAATAGCTGAATTAATGAGGTAAATGGTTGGTACAAATTCAGTACCCACTAGTTGCGTTCAATTAAGTCATTCAGATCAGATCATCTAATCTACATTTCTTGGAAAATTGTGGTCACCAACCACGATATACACACGACACGACAGAAACTAACTCTAAGAACCTGGCTAAATGACTTCTCCAAGCTCCACTCAGACTACAACGAGATTTCAAACCAAAAAAAAAAGAAAGTCATCGTTCAACCAGGAACTAGAGTATTCATAAATGGTGGCAGGGTACCAGGTTTAGCTGCTAGAGATCATTGTAGTTTTATTCAATTCCCAACTGCATTGCCCATCAGAAACATAGTAAAGTTGGTAAGTAAATAACATAGCAAGAGTTTCTGGAACGCACTACTCTGGATTCATATCATAAATTTGGACATAGTGAAGTTCTTACCATGTCTAATTTAGTCAAACATAGAGGGAAAGGCATAACTGAACTGTTCCGTGTCAAATGATAAACTTAAAAGAATTAGTCCTTGGAGTCTTTTGGCTAGTTAATGTATTAGCCGTGAGAAGTTATTGGTAGTTAGTTAATGGATTAGTCATTTATAGTCGTTTATAGTCATTTTGTCTATTTTGATATGTAAGTTTATAAATTGTATTGTTGATTGCATGAATGAAACAACAACAATAAGGTGAAATGATAATCTTAAGCCAAAAAGGCATTGGCATATCCTTAGAAACCAAAACTAAGTTCATCGAACAATTATAGGCCACCAAAACAAAAACCTTGTAGTTATGGATAAGGTAGTGACACTTAGAAGCACCTCAATCAGTAAATGAACGAGTGTGTACAACACACCACAAAAAAAATTCGCCACAGATGTAATGACCGCTAAATGCAGTAAAACAGTAAGATCAAACGAATCAATATGCATTGCAGTTTTGTAAACCAACATTCCTGTGCTACAGGTTGCTGGTAATTAAGAAAAGAAAAATGATTCATAGACACCAAAAAAGGTTCATTAACACTTAATATACACTTAGAGAGAGAACAAAAATGATAGGTTTATAGGTTATATGATTTGATAAGAAGAGAGGTAGAAGAAAAATCAAGTGTGTGATAGGTGTAGATGAAATCAAGGTGTATGTGTATCATTGCTAGAAAAGAAAATGAGACCAGATTTTCTCTGTCCTTTCCTTCAATTTATCTGCCAACAACAAAAAGAATAATCTCGTTCAATGAATCTCATGACATCATTGAGTTTTGTAAGAAATCAAATTCTCTTTGATAAAATTCTTTGATTAATTTACCAAAGCACCTTATTGTTGATAGATAACTGATACCTGCGTTGAAACAAAATGGAAACTGCAGCATTTAGCCAATGATGAAGATATGGACAATACTACCGAAATTTGCCCCAAATGTTTTATGTTGATTGATGACTACTCACTCAATGATTTCAACACGATAAGAGATAATGTCATTTGGTGAACCTGACCAATGACACCAACAAGGCAGTTTCCCAAAGACCAAAAGTTGTTTGTATATTTTTGTGCACATAATCTGCCAAACAGAATGCGCACCATTTGATTTTGAAACAAAAAGGAAAGGATAGAAAGGGGATTATAATGAGGATTGTGCAAGAAGCTTTGATGTGTATGTAACAATAACATCTAACGAAAATAGCACAATTATACATATATTCCCATAGCAACATTTTTCCAATGGTTTCTCATCCGCACCAAACAAATTTTCTTTGTCGAGTCGAAGACCAACTGAATCAAAAGAAAGAATAGAGCAAAATCTAAAGGACGTGAGCCGTGCACAGTACCTTAAAAACTCTCAGGACTATCATCCAATTGTTTCTCGTCTTCTATGTCAACCTCCAAAATCTCCTGAAACCAATGCATCAAAAGGGCAAAAATTATGTAACTCTTTAGCTTTGCACTGTAATAGTTTACTTGAGTGGTTATTTTGGCGTTTTAGAAAACAACCATAATAGACTCACAGGAATCCTCTGTTTGAGATAATTGGCGATTCTGGCTATGACCGTGGAACGCTTGTGCCAAAAGCGACCCCTGAGGCTAAGCTTCACAAAAGGTCCATCCAAGTCAGCTAGTTCAACCACTCCTGAAATTGGATTATGTTGCGTTGCTCCATTACAGTAATCAACAAACCAGAAACTACCATGTAACAGTCAAATAATGCTTACCTTACCTGTCATACCAACAGAGGTGTCAAAGATTTGACCCAGCTCCTGTCGAGCGTCCTCCAAAGCCTGTCTCACGTTGTCTTCTGTGAGGTCAAGCGGCGGTGGAACGGGAAGCGCCGCTGATAGAGGTTTCAAGATCCTCCTTGCTTTGCCACGTCCCATCGATGGGGGATTTGGGGCATGGAAATTGGTGGCGGTGCATACCATTGCTGATGAGATGTTGATAGAGCTTACATTGTGGTTACGGACGTGAAAAACACAACACAGGCCCTTCTGTAATAAGGACATACTCCTTCAATCTCCGTTTCTTCTTTTTCTGAATTTCTACCTCAAATTCAATTGTCTGAATTTCTAACTTCAGGATAATGCAACACAGTGAAGTGGGTGAATATCATAGGATATGGATGATATTCATATGCTAAAAGAAAGACATCTTTTGACATTGTCTGGACCCTTTCTTTTATTAAGAAAAAATATTCCTTAATTAACAAATATATTTGCAAATTTTGCAATGAAAAATATTTTTAAAATTAATTTTATTTTTTCGAAATTTAAAAAGTATTACTGTATTCTAAAAACGTTTTTCATATTTTTTTGACAGAAAAAAAAATTGTTTCCTCAAAAGTTCTCACAAGTCCAACCAATGGGCTGAGTTTGTGTCAATGGCCAATGGCAGTAATGGTTTTGCTTTCACAACTGAAGCATGTATAGCAGTTCGAATAAACATTCGTTAATAGTATCGTTGATATCTAGCAGATAAAACGTCAATGAAAATGTGCATTATTTATTTATTAAATTGACGATGTAGAGTATTATTTACTCTTTCATCTGGAAATTAACTACGGCTTTAATACACTTATAACTCACTCCCTTGTCCTGTGTTTTCTAGCCATTGCTAAATTTCATCCCTGCAGTCCGTAAAACCGAATGCTAATTTTTGGTACTTTGGAAAGGAGCAAGTTGGCAAAGACATATACAAGCATTACAACTAAAGTTACCTAGTAAAACATTCATTTTATCTAAGAACAGTGTCATTACTCAGAATTATAATCGTTTCGAATTGAATTATAATAAGTTAATTTGATTTTATTAAAACTGATTAAATGGATGACTTGCTAATATCTATGAAAACCCATGCGAACTAATGTGAATTTAAGAATCACCATGCATATATTCACGTGTTTACTGGATCAAAACTTATCTGGTAAGTATATTAACTCTTCCATTGCATTTCTTTTCTCTTTTATCTACCGTTGCGGTGAGTATATTACAGTTTGGTACGGAGCCAAGCAACCTAAAGCTTATGGGTGAAAAATAGAGTTTCTATTATTATATAAGATCAGAATTCTCTCAATACTTTTAGCACCCACTTCACCATGTTAAGGAGTCAACTATAAGAGAGAAAGAATGTAGATCTCGATATGAATACTGGTATATTTATAACCAAAAACCAACAACAGGTAAGTGTTATCAAGATCCGTAGTTTATGATATTTTTGTTGGCGTTACAAGTCTTCATATAAATTCATCCACCCTAAATAGCAGAGAAGTACTCTTTGCTAAGTTTAGGGTCTGGTTTCATGGACTTCTCACCAGGCTTCCACCCAGCTGGGCAAACTTCATCTGGGTTCTCCTGCACATACTGCAAGGCCTGCAAGACCAATGCACATAAATGGATGCAAAGACTAAATATAAATGACAGATGTGTGGAAGAAACAAATAAAAAGTTGGAGATACACTAAAATATTGTCAATCCTGTTCTTGTCCTGATTTGTCGTATAAATAATTACCTGGAGAGTTCTCTTTGTCTCATCAACACTTCTACCGATGGCCAGGTTGTTAATGGTAGAATGCTGAATAACCCCTTCCTTGTCAATAATGAACAATCCTCTCAATGCAATCCCCTAAATCATTGGAAACAATTAGAATTGTTGTGAAAAGTGCTAAAAAGGTTTAATGATAAAAGCAATAGTTTCACGGCCAACATTTCAACACTTTACACAAAAAGCTAAAGGTATTTACCTAGACAGCATCCTACAATTCTTTCCCGGGAATTTGAAACTAGAGCACACAATACATTCGTGTAAGATGAATAGCCATCATTTAAAAATACCTGATCGGGAATGAGAACACCAAAAGATTTCGAGATGGATTTGGTGATATCAGAAATCAAAGGATAATTCAAGTCGCCAAGACCACCCGACTTTCTATCAGTTTGAACCCATGCAAGGTGTGAAAATACAATGATAACAACAACACTAATCAAGAAGAAGCAAACTTAAGAAGTGCCTATGGATAAGGCTAATAAAAGATAATTGTGCATTTAGAAAAAGGAAGAGTAATAGATCACAATATATAAAGCTGTCTGTTTTCTTGGGCATGCCGCATGAACAAGTGGGAATGTTGCATCCCACTCCACTATGTCACACATCCTTCACAAATATTGAGAATAGCAATACATGTGTAAGTCAAGAAAAAGAAATTCCAATAATCAAGGTTCGAATGAACTAATTGTCCAATATTTTTATGAAGTAATTTCGTCTGACAATACTCTCCGATACGTCCTAATTCATTGCATTATGTTTCAGAGAAAAAAAATTGCGGAATTCTCATAATTTTGCAGATTATGCTATGAACTCTCAGTCATAGCTTCTTCCTGTCAGATATGGTAAGTGGGCCAAGTCATTGCACACCTTTCACTTTCTTAGTAGCTTGTATACATCCAAGAAGCATGTCATTTCAAGAATAGAGAAAAGAATAACAACAAACAAAGCCTTACTCTCCAACTGGTACCGTCACTTAAATGGATTTAAAAATGCCATAGAAAAACGTACGGGGAAAAAATTATACAAGAGCTAGAATCTGACGAAACAGTTAAAAAAAAAGGTCAAAACAAACTCACCACACTGTCAACTGAAACACCCAAAATCTCTGTATTTATTTCCTCAAACTCTGCATGCCGATCACTGAAGGCAGTGATTTCTGTACACAAGTAATATTACAGTTAAAAAGGAGAAAACTCAGCATCCACGACAATCTCAATCGGAAGTCTACTAACCTGTAGGACAAACGAATGTGAAATCCAATGGGTAGAAAAATAGGATAACATATTTTTTCCCAATATATTCAGATAGTTTGACCTGAAAAGACAGTGTTTCATTCAACATAATTTGTAATCACAAAATTTACCAATCAGTATTGAATCAAAAATACCTTGATAAACTCCTGATCAAAAACAGCCTCTGCTTCAAAGTCGGGTGCTACGTTCCCAACCAATGGAAGTTCACTCTTTCAAAATAAGCAAACAAATAAAAAATAAATAAATAAATTGTTTCAGAGGTCCGGCCAGAGAAATATTACACTCCAGAGAATTATATTTTTCAGCTTCATCAAGGAAGTTACAGCAGTCAAGATTTGCAGAAAAAGATTCTCCCACACCCGAACAGAAATTCCAATACACAAACTCACAACCTTTAAGAGGGAAGAGTGTAGAATTACCATATTATTTAAAACACTGTTCGCCTAATTAGAATTTACAATGAATTTGTGCTACATTGTACAACATGTAACATATCTATGAACTAATACGTTCAGAAATGCAGCTAACAGAAACAGAACCTTCACAATCACCGACGTAGTACGTGTCAACAGTTCAATCACAACGGTGTATAAAATTAGCAGGTGAGCGAAACTAGTGAGACCTCAAACTAGAGGGTTGGAGATGAAAGCGTACATTGACGGGAAGAGAGAAAAATGCACAAAAATAGCGACCAACGGGGAAACAAGAAAACAAGCAGGTAACAGTAAAATCAACAGAAACATAAAAAAGAAACAAATTCTTGCAGCGCAATGTAAGAGTTTTGAGAGGTAAAGGAGAGTAAGAAGAAGGAGAAAAGAAGTACCGAAGCTCTGGCAACGAAGGTTTTGAGAGCGGGAGATGAAGGATTGAGAGAAGTGCGTAAAGGTTTGAAAAGGGAATTGGAAGAATAGGGGAAGGAGAGAGAAGAAAAGGAAGAAGAAGGGAATTTGGGAGAGAAGAGAATGTTAGGATTTGAGGAGATGAGAGAAGCAGAGGGAGCCAAAGAAGCCATGGGAGAGTGAGTTGTGTGAGGCAGAGGAAGTAAGATAGAAAAGAATGGACGACCAAGAAAGTGGTATCTATCCAATAATAACCTAACAATTCTGATTCATTTTATAGTGGGAAATGGTATTTTTACATTCAATTTCTTTTCTTTTACATGACATTTTTTTTTATTATTTTACACTTTCATTCTTTTTTTCATAGCTATTATATATGTTACGCAATGATAAACAAGATTTATCATTAAAGTATTATATTATAGTAAATAAAATCCTTTTATACAAAAGTATTAGAATTATACTTATGATAATGAATAAAAAAATAAAAGTAATTATATAAAAAATATCAAAACATTATTTTACTGGTACGGAGCCAAGCAACCTAAAGCTTATGGGTGAAAAATAGAGTTTCTATTATTATATAAGATCAGAATTCTCTCAATACTTTTAGCACCCACTTCACCATGTTAAGGAGTCAACTATAAGAGAGAAAGAATGAAGATCTCGATATGAATACTGGTATATTTATAACCAAAAACCAACAACAGGTAAGTGTTATCAAGATCCGTAGTTTATGATATTTTTGTTGGCGTTACAAGTCTTCATATAAATTCATCCACCCTAAATAGCAGAGAAGTACTCTTTGCTAAGTTTAGGGTCTGGTTTCATGGACTTCTCACCAGGCTTCCACCCAGCTGGGCAAACTTCATCTGGGTTCTCCTGCACATACTGCAAGGCCTGCAAGACCAATGCACATAAATGGATGCAAAGACTAAATATAAATGACAGATGTGTGGAAGAAACAAATAAAAAGTTGGAGATACACTAAAATATTGTCAATCCTGTTCTTGTCCTGATTTGTCGTATAAATAATTACCTGGAGAGTTCTCTTTGTCTCATCAACACTTCTACCGATGGCCAGGTTGTTAATGGTAGAATGCTGAATAACCCCTTCCTTGTCAATAATGAACAATCCTCTCAATGCAATCCCCTAAATCATTGGAAACAATTAGAATTGTTGTGAAAAGTGCTAAAAAGGTTTAATGATAAAAGCAATAGTTTCACGGCCAACATTTCAACACTTTACACAAAAAGCTAAAGGTATTTACCTAGACAGCATCCTACAATTCTTTCCCGGGAATTTGAAACTAGAGCACACAATACATTCGGGTAAGATGAATAGCCATCATTTAAAAATACCTGATCGGGAATGAGAACACCAAAAGATTTCGAGATGGATTTGGTGATATCAGAAATCAAAGGATAATTCAAGTCGCCAAGACCACCCGACTTTCTATCAGTTTGAACCCATGCAAGGTGTGAAAACTACAATGATAACAACAGCACCACTAATCAAGAAGAAGCAAACTTAAGAAGTGCCTATGGATAAGGCTAATAAAAGATAATTGTGCATTTAGAAAAAGGAAGAGTAATAGATCACAATATATAAAGCTGTCTGTTTTCTTGGGCATGCCGCATGAACAAGTGGGAATGTTGCATCCCACTCCACTATGTCACACATCCTTCACAAATATTGAGAATAGCAATACATGTGTAAGTCAAGAAAAAGAAATTCCAATAATCAAGGTTCGAATGAACTAATTGTCCAATATTTTTATGAAGTAATTTCGTCTGACAATACTCTCCGATACGTCCTAATTCATTGCATTATGTTTCAGAGAAAAAAAATTGCGGAATTCTCATAATTTTGCAGATTATGCTATGAACTCTCAGTCATAGCTTCTTCCTGTCAGATATGGTAAGTGGGCCAAGTCATTGCACACCTTTCACTTTCTTAGTAGCTTGTATACATCCAAGAAGCATGTCATTTCAAGAATAGAGAAAAGAATAACAACAAACAAAGCCTTACTCTCCAACTGGTACCGTCACTTAAATGGATTTAAAAATGCCATGGAAAAACGTACGGGGAAAACATTATACAAGAGCTAGAATCTGACGAAACAGTTAAAAAAAAAGGTCAAAACAAACTCACCACACTGTCAACTGAAACACCCAAAATCTCTGTATTTATTTCCTCAAACTCTGCATGCCGATCACTGAAGGCAGTGATTTCTGTACACAAGTAATATTACAGTTAAAAAGGAGAAAACTCAGCATCCACGACAATCTCAATCGGAAGTCTACTAACCTGTAGGACAAACGAATGTGAAATCCAATGGGTAGAAAAATAGGATAACATATTTTTTCCCAATATATTCAGATAGTTTGACCTGAAAAGACAGTGTTTCATTCAACATAATTTGTAATCACAAAATTTACCAATCAGTATTGAATCAAAAATACCTTGATAAACTCCTGATCAAAAACAGCCTCTGCTTCAAAGTCGGGTGCTACGTTCCCAACCAATGGAAGTTCACTCTTTCAAAATAAGCAAACAAATAAAAAATAAATAAATAAATTGTTTCAAAGGTCCGGCCAGAGAAATGTTACACTCCAGAGAATTATATTTTTCAGCTTCATCAAGGAAGTTACAGCAGTCAAGATTTGCAGAAAAAGATTCTCCCACACCCGAACAGAAATTCCAATACACAAACTCACAACCTTTAAGAGGGAAGAGTGTAGAATTACCATATTATTTAAAACACTGTTCGCCTAATTAGAATTTACAATGAATTTGTGCTACATTGTACAACATGTAACATATCTATGAACTAATACGTTCAGAAATGCAGCTAACAGAAACAGAACCTTCACAATCACCGACGTAGTACGTGTCAACAGTTCAATCACAACGGTGTATAAAATTAGCAGGTGAGCGAAACTAGTGAGACCTCAAACTAGAGGGTTGGAGATGAAAGCGTACATTGACGGGAAGAGAGAAAAATGCACAAAAATAGCGACCAACGGGGAAACAAGAAAACAAGCAGGTAACAGTAAAATCAACAGAAACATAAAAAAGAAACAAATTCTTGCAGCGCAATGTAAGAGTTTTGAGAGGTAAAGGAGAGTAAGAAGAAGGAGAAAAGAAGTACCGAAGCTCTGGCAACGAAGGTTTTGAGAGCGGGAGATGAAGGATTGAGAGAAGTGCGTAAAGGTTTGAAAAGGGAATTGGAAGAATAGGGGAAGGAGAGAGAAGAAAAGGAAGAAGAAGGGAATTTGGGAGAGAAGAGAATGTTAGGATTTGAGGAGATGAGAGAAGCAGAGGGAGCCAAAGAAGCCATGGGAGAGTGAGTTGTGTGAGGCAGAGGAAGTAAGATAGAAAAGAATGGACGACCAAGAAAGTGGTATCTATCCAATAATAACCTAACAATTCTGATTCATTTTATAGTGGGAAATGGTATTTTTACATTCAATTTCTTTTCTTTTACATGACATTTTTTTTTATTATTTTACACTTTCATTCTTTTTTTCATAGCTATTATATATGTTACGCAATGATAAACAAGATTTATCATTAAAGTATTATATTATAGTAAATAAAATCCTTTTATACAAAAGTATTAGAATTATACTTATGATAATGAATAAAAAAATAAAAGTAATTATATAAAAAATATCAAAACATTATTTTACATGATAAAAATAAATGAATAAAATTATTAAAAAATTAATAATAATCAAATGTATGTCTTAAAAATAATTTACATTTTAAATAAAATCATAAAAAAAGTAAATGTATAATTAAATATATGATAAGATAAAAAAATATCCTTAAAAATATATTAAAAATTTCCAAATATCGAACAATAATAAATATTGTGTATAAGAGAATAAAAAAGATAAAGTTTATATATTACGAAATAAACGAAGAATTTATGCAACACTTAAATTGATAGTTAATGTAAAAAATAAATAATAAATAAAAATATTAAAAAAAGTATAAAAATATTTAAACATGAAACATAAAATTATCAATATTTTAATAATTTAATTCAAGGGTGAAAATGAAATAAAAACAAAAATAGATATTTAAACAAAGTACGAGAATGGTAATGGATATACACATAAACATATTCATTTACATACTAAATTAAAAAAACCGAACATTATTTATGTTGATATCCACTCAATAGGAAAATTCTTCCTCAAAATAGAAACGGATTCATTGACATCTCTCTGTAATCAGTTATATTTTCAAGTTGAATTAAATTTAAATTTCCTTTTAATAAACACTTATTTTATGTAATAATTTATTATTATTAAGAATATATTTTTCAATGTCTCACAGTTAATCAGTTAATAAACAATGATTTATTATCTTTTCACTAAAATTAGTATTTACAAGTTTAATAAATAACCGATTAATTAGAATAATAGATAAATTATCCGATACAAAAAAAATATGCTTCAAGTAATTAATTGTTAATAATTAATTATATTCGTTGAGATTAATTTACAAGTTTAATGAATAACCGATTAATTAGAATAATAGATCATATTATCCGATATAAAAAATATACTTTAAGTAATTAATTGTTATTAATTAATTATATTGGTTGAAATTAATTTACATAAAAGAACATATTTCAATAAGATTGGCGTATCATTTCGTATTATATATTTTAATATTTTGTTCTGAACCATCAAAATTTTCTATATTCGGTTTAAAATTAACTAGGTAAAGCCTAAAATACATTATAAATACAAGTCATACCATTTCTCATTTTTTTAAACATAAATCATTCATTTGTATATAAATTAACATTATCAATATCCTTTAAGTGAAAATTATAGAAAAAGAAGAAACTTGTCTTACTTTAATTTTCATTTAGACGAAAATCATAGTAAAAGAATTCAACATAAATTGTTTTTGCATGTGATATCATTTCCAACTCAAATTCTAAACTAAACTCACATATTAATTCGTTCATAATTTTCCTAACTTATCAAATCCATCAATTTATATTCCAATATCAACACCAAACCAATAATTGAATCTCACAAATCTAATTTCATAATTTATTGCATTAAATTTATTACCAATGTATATATATCTTCACTTCACATACCAAAACATTCAATTTCTTAATATAATATTATGTTATTTTTAACTTTCACATATGTATATCATTAACGAAACCATTTATTTATATACACCAATCCAACATATAAAAGAATTACAAATT